ACTATGTATGTGGCAACAGCGCTAATAATTGACTAGCAGTTGTACACACTGCGAACCTACAGACCTCGGACATCGGAGATATTGCGCGTCAAATTCGGGTAAAGATGCGTACGCGTTCAAAAATGTATTGTGTGTAAACTATGTAAAATATAATTATTGTATATAGCAAATAAGTATATCGTATTATCCTCGCGAAGATTTGTATCCTTTATTTAAAATCCGTAAATCATGTGAACTAGTAAAACAACGATAATTATGTTAATTTAGTTCTAAAGAAATGAAATGACACTCGCGCCCATCTCTCGTCCAAGTCTAAGAAAATGTTGGATGCAATTTTGAAGGTTCTGTGATAGAAATTACATTATTACTCACTGTTCGTGTTTTTAATCTCTATTTCAGTAATGTTACAAAAGTTTTACAACTATAACTAATTTTTTAGATATAAAGTTTGCGGAGAAATATTTATGGTCCTTTGTTATTCCGTACAAATGCTTTTATCTCAAGTATTACTAATTATATTAATCAAGTAAAGAAAACTTTATGTAACCGAAAATATTGCTGGGTAATGATTACGTTGTTTTTATAAACCATTAAATATATTAAAAGGATCTATCAACTGTATTTTTTATTACAATAAATATATCAACGCTTTCTAGTCTTTTTAAATTAATCTAGTTTTTTAAAAACATTACAAAAAATCATCTGTTGTTGATAATTTATTGTTGATAACAATGTAATTTAGGAAAAATGTATATGTTTGAAATCAATTTCGTTTTTATCAAGTCTTTCAAATGTATTCCCTCCTTGCCGTCAGCTGATTGCGACGTTGCCACATTAATCCTCAAGTCAGACAGAAATGCGATTATTGGTTTATGTTTCTAATTAATACAGCTGTACTATGTTCAAAACTTATATTAGTTTTACATCAAAAATAAGATAACACTGTGTACTATCTATGGAAAAATTTTGTTTCACAATTTCTACATTTCTTTCTTAGTTATAGGCAAAAAAAGAGCCGCACCGTTCATCTTCGCCATATAAACGCATGTTAAAATGAACAACTTTCAACAATATCTCAAAATCTAGATTAAAAAAAAAAAATCAAAAAAATATGACGCACAGAGAGAGAGGGAGCATTGGCTTATACGCTATATAAATTTAAAGTACATCTGTGCATTTGAGTAAACCCGATATACCTCCTTAGACCTCTTTTATGCACGCGTTTTTCTCCTCTCAACGCGGAGTTGACAAAAACGCCGCGTTTCAAGATACCCTGAATAGAGTTACTACGTTTATGCATTTTACGCTCGTTTATTTGCTCTCGCGTTTTCAATTCTGTCGCGATGGATTTACAGAACGCTTGGCGACACGCGTTCCGAAAAAGCACGAAAGTATATCGGCGTTTTTATGCAAAGCGCTCTTTGTCGCAAGTCCAGTGGCTCTGTCTGTCAAGAATAGTTTTAGCACAGTTTGTTTTAGTTTTAGTTTAGCTATTGATCAAGCGGGACATGGATGCAATGGACGCAATTGAATTCTATTTCTATTAATTGGATGTACTGCCCATCGCCTCTTACGTTTTCTATTACATATTTTTTTATAGCACAAATACAATATACACGGATCCATTTTCATGTACTTCACTGACTACTGTGTGGCATGAAACTGGCGACAACTGATAGAATACGCGTGCATAAAATGGAGCAGAAATATACCGCGTTTTTCTCAATTTCGCGTTGAGAGGAGAAAAACGCGTGCATAAAAGAGGTCTTAAGGGTTAAAAATATAGTACTTTCATTTACAATAGAAATACGTGTGTAAGTTTGGATTGTAATTATGGTTTCATTTCTTTTTTTATATATAATTCCGTCACTTTGGCAACTTTTTATGGACACAAATTGTTACCAAGGCGACTTGATCTACTAATCTTATGTTTATTAAAGGAAGCTAACCTGGAGGTATGTCCCACACGCTCTTGCACACCCTGTATAAACGATTTCGTCTAAATTCTCTCATTTTTATCCCAGGTCACTTAGTATAATATTATTTTAAATTATTGTTGTTTTAATATACCTACCATCTGAAGCGTGTGAATATGGTTACTTTACAAGTACTTAAAAGCCGCTTAAGCGCAACTACTGCCTTTTAATGAGTCGCAATTGAAACGCATACTTTCAGGCAATTATTATGGGAATTAACATAAATGCTAAACGCGTTTTTCCTCGGGTAATTACCTAGGAAACCAGAATTAACAAACTGCAAGTGGTATTACAACACGAAAAATAGTTATTGCACCCAAAACGGTAGGGATTTTGTTTTACTTAAGCGTGAAGTAAAAATAGACTTTAAACAGGATGTAGAATGCATAAAATTTAACTTTTTGCACTGGATAACGAAGCTACAAAGGTTATTGTGGGTGAATCGTATATCCACGGAGATTTTTGGCTTTTTGGCTTTCAAATATCACTGGAAATGAAAATTTTTCTATGCGCATAAAAAAAANCGAAAAATTAGCCCGGATGTCCCAGCGTAAATGACGGTTAACTTTGATCGGCTATAACTACGTAACTAATTGACCAATCGATCTGTTTTTTTTTTAAAGAAGTGTCTTTACAATAACTTTTAAAACCTGTTTTAAAAAATTTGATTTGACAGAATATTCACAAAGTTATTATAACTGTTTGTAACTACAAAAATTCGACCAACGTTTAAACAAGCGCCAGAACTCTCCTAATTGACGGATTCGAATTTTTCATAAGGCGTTTGAAAGCTTGAGGGCCCTTCTATATGTGATTAAATTTTCAAGTATCTAAGGGCCTTGGTTTTTGCTATCGAACCGATTTTGATGAAATTTGGTGTGATGATTCTACATAACATGAAGTTTTCTTGAGCCAAGTATGAAGGTCCTATATGCAATTTAAAGACCCCAAAACAATTCCCTAAAAACTAATGTTTTTTAACCTCAATTTTGGCGATTTTTTCGATTTTTACAATAATAACCATGATTAATTCGATTTGTAACTAGTCATATTTTGTAAAATTTAATTACAAACTATTTTTTCCTCTTGCATTTTCGCCTAAAATCAACTCTTGAAATGATACATAATTAAATAGGAAGAAAAACATGACATTTTTCGAATTTTTTTAACATATTGCGCCGCCAAAAGGTAAGCCCATTTTTTTATGCGCATAGAAAAATTTTCATTTCTAGTGAAAGCCAAAAAGCCAAAAATTATTTCGAGTTCATGGATATTATGTCAAATATATAAAAAAAAATCGACTCTTACAGCTGCCGTACCGGGTATTTTTATTGTACGATAAAATTTGCGCGTACAATTTCGATTTTTCACGTCAAATATACAAAAATTGCATGGATCAAAACTCACCTCCAGCTTCTTGGAGTACTCCTCGACGAGGGCCTCCTGCTGCCGCTTCAGTTCCTCGTTCTTCTCCAAGAGGGCCTTGCCCAGCTCGGCGGCCAACACCAAGTCATTCTCCTTCTGTTGCAGCTGCGTCCAAACGTCCTCGCTCAGGGCCTGCGCCTGGCTCTGGTCTATGGCACTGCGGTTTTCCATTTCCACGACGTAGTCCTCGAGCGACTTCAGCATGGCTAGAGGGCGCTAGGGGGCGCGCGCAGCGTCAATGTCGACCGGAAAGACGTCATCGCGCGGAACGGACGAAATTTGGCGCTCGACGTGGGTCTGGAACAAAGACGACGTTGTTGGTATGCGATAATCGAGTATTTCTATGCGTGTTTAGTCATTGGTGTCGAACATATAATAAAATTCAAATCTACAATAGACATACATGTTTTTTTTTTAAGTTGAGAACTGCTNAGTCAATTAGTTACATAGTTATAGCCGATTCAATTTCGAGCAGGCCGAAGCGGCCGCGCTCTCTGCTTCTCCCACCACCACCACCCGTACGATTTTATTGAATTTCTCGCTTGCATAAATAACTTTAAATATCTTTTAAAGTAGGTTGCCAATGAAGAAAAGTATTGCAAACTTAGACCTGGTAAGTACTCGGAATACCAAAGGTATTTTTCGAAAAATTAGCCCGGATGTCCCAGCGTAAATGACGGTTAACCTTGATCGGCTATAACTACGTAACTAATTGACCAATCGATCTGTTTTTTTTTTAAAGAAGGGTCTTTACAATAACTTTTAAAACCTGCTTTAAAAAATTTGATTTGACAGAATATTCACAGTTATTTTAATTGTTTATAACTACAAAAATTCAACCAATGTTTAAACAAGCGCCAGAACTCTCCTAATTGACGGATTCGAATTTTTCAAAAGGCGTTTGAAAGCTTGAGGGCCCTTCTATATGTGATTAAATTTTCAAGTATCTAAGGGCCTTGGTTTTTGCTGTGCAAAATTTTGAAAATTTGCATTTTTTTTTTCAAAATCCGGATTGCAAAATTATTATGCAAAATCTATCGAACCGATTTTGATGAAATTTGGTGTGATGATTCAACATAACATGAAGTTTTCTTGAGCCAAGTATGAAGGTCATATATCCAATTTAAAGACCCCAAAACAATTCCCTAAAAACTAATGTTTTTTAACCCCAATTTTGGCGATTTTTTTCGATTTTTACAATAACAACCATGATTAATTCGATTTGTAACTAGTCATATTTTGTAAAATTTAATTACAAACATTTTTTTCCTCTTCCATTTTCGCCTAAAATAAACTCTTGACAAGACACATAATTAAATAGGAAAAAAATATGACATTTTTCGAATTTTTTTAACATACTGTGCCGCCAAAAGTTAAGCCCACGTTTTTTTATGCGCATAGAAAAATTTTCATTTCTAGTGACACTTGAAAGCCAAAAAGCCAAAAATTATTTCGAGTTCATGAATATTATGTCATATATAAAAGAATCGACTCTTACAGCTGCCGTACCGGGTATTTTTATTGTAGGATAAAATTTGCGAGTACAATTTCGATTTTTCACGTCAAATATTCAAAAAATTGTCATGGACCAAAACTCACCTCCAGCTTCTTGGAGTACTCCTCGACGAGAGCCTCCTGCTGCCGCTTCAGTTCCTCGTTCTTCTCCAAGAGGGCCTTGCCCAGCTCGGCGGCCAACACCAAGTCATTCTCCTTCTGTTGCAGCTGCGTCCAAACGTCCTCGCTCAGGGCTTGCGCCTGGCTCTGGTCTATGGCACTGCGGTTTTCCATTTCCACGACGTAGTCCTCGAGCGACTTCAGCATGGCTAGAGGGCGCTAGGGGGCGCACGCAGCGTCAATGTCGACCGGAAAGACGTCATCGCGCGGAACGGACGAAACTTGGCGCTCGATGTGGGTCTGGAACAAAGACGACGTTGTTGGTATACGATAATCGAGTATTTCTATGCGTGTTTAGTCATTGGTGTCGAACATATAATAAAATTCAAATCTACAATAGACATACATGTTTTTTTTTTAAGTTGAGAACTGCTGGTTTCACTGTAGGATTTACGCGTAACGTAGATTTATGAAATAGAAACGCTAACTACCCCTTCTAGCGGTTTGCGCAAGCGTATAAGGAAAATCATGGAATATTGTGAAAATTTTTAACGATGTTCTTTATTTAACCCTTAAAAACTACCCCTATGCAAAAAATAATGTTAAAAAATTACTTTTTAAAGATTTGGAACGATTAAATCGTGCAATTATTTGAAATAAAAGTTACCTTAGCTAATAAAAGAATTTTTCCCTTTCAACCCCTAAAAACTACCCCTGTATTGACAAAAATGATAAAGAATTACTTTTTAAAAGCTTGGAATGCTTTCACGGTGCAATTATTTAAAATAAAAATTCCCTCATTGCTTAAGAAAGAATTTGAATCTCATAACACTTTTCAACCCTTATAAATCACCCCTACGCTAAAAAAATGATAAAAAATTACGTTTTAAATCTTGGAATGCTATAATTGTGCAATAATTTAAAATAAAAATTTCCTTATATTACTTAAGGGTCACTCAACGTAGCTGCGGTCAAAGGATAGATAGCATTTACCTTAAAATTACTTTATAAGGGAATCCTTAGGAGATAACGAATTTGATTGGTTCATTTTTGACCTGACGAGTGAAGACGTAAGTACACGGCTATTCTGTGGACCGTGGATTCGTTATCGGGCCTCTGGTTGTTGTCATAAAACACATCGAGTACTTTATTTGTAACGTTTCATTTTAAATCATTTCATTTACGGTATTACTTATTATTTCGTGAAGATGAGTGACACGAGTAGTGATATTAACGCCCAAGTTAGTCCTACGACTCCGACATATATAAAAATGAGAAAGCCTATTTTGCTCCGAAAAAATGTCATTAGTTTTTTTACCACAACTCTGTTAATTTTGAAGCTATCGTATCCTACAAAAAGCATTTTAAAGATAATTTCAAGAGATTAAATAATGTTCCATGTTCTCGAACTTGTTTTATGATATATTTGATGTTTTCGACCCTTTATTGAACCCTTAAAAACTACCCCTATGCAATAAATAATTATAAAAAACTACTTTTTAAGGATTTGGAATGATTAAGCTAATAAAAGAATTTTTCCCTTTCAACCCTTAAAAAAAATTATAAAAAACTACTTTTTAAAAGCTTGGAATGCTTTAACGGTGCAATTATTTAAAATAAAAATTATCTCATTGCTTATGAAAGAATTTGTATTTCACAACACTTTTCAACCCTTATAAATTGTCCCTGTGCTAAAAATAATGATAAATTTTAAAACTTGGAATTGTGCAATCACTTAAAATAAAAATTCCCTTATATTGTTTATGAAAGAATATTTTACTTTTGCCATTTTTAACTCTTATAAACCACCCTGTCGCCAATATTAATGTAAAAATATTTTTATTATAATCGATTTTTAAATATAATCAATCATAAAAAAATTCCTACGCTGCTTATAAATAATTACACTAAATTTTTTAAACTTATTTTATTTGTATAATACATATAATAACATATAAAAATGAGAAAGCCTATTTTGCTCCGAAAAAATGTCATTGGTTTTTTTACCATAACTCGGTTAATTTTGAAGCTATAGTATCCTACAAAAAAAGCATTTTAAATATAATTTCAATTTCGTTTTTTAAAGGGAAAGTATCGAAGGGCTCAAGACAGGTCGTTTTTTTCACTAAAATGGATACTTCAAGCGGCGATATCTCGTTTATTTTATTTTTATTATAGGAATAAAAAAAGCAAAATATTTGTTGAAAAAAAAATGCTACATTTTTGTTGTCTATCATTTTTTACGTATCTTTCATAGTTTCAGAGTTATTATATAAATAATTGATTTTTTTTTAATAAAGAAAAATACGTTTTCAACTTTTACCGGTCATTATTAAAAAAATACGCATTCTAAACCGGTCTAACTTCAAGATCGTAAGTATGAAAAACACTAAAACAAAACTAATTGTAAAGGGTCTACGATTAATTTTAATTCTGATAGAAATGGTACAGCATTTACTGCTCATTTTCTCTTAAAAAATATGAGCAACCTATCTGTTGACGATAACTCCTTCAATTTTGCTCTAATTAACTTTTATAAGTGCTCATTTTGAAGGTCTATTTGAGTACTATAAAAAACTCCTCCATAATTCGCTTTGTATAGGATCGTACAACACTTTTTAAAAAACGATTTTCTTTAGTTTATTTATAAGCTACATTTTTGGTCATTACACTTTTTTTAATAAAATGCGTAGTTTTTGAGTTATTCGCGAAAAATACTTTGAAAAAGTTTTTTTTCACACAAAATTCCAAGTTTTCAATAGTGAATAACTAAAAAACTATCGATTTCTCGAAAAAATTCTTCGAATATTTTCTGCTCAAAATTTGATTCTCTATCGATTTTCAGCGTATTTTTTTTTTAAATTTCTACCCCCGAGAAGGGTGGAAGCGTCAATGGGCGCTATGTCACTAATGTTCATTGACCTTTTCTCTAACTGTCTGCCAAATTTCAAGTCGATCGGTTCAGTTTCAAAGAATTGGGAGGTGAAAAGCTTCAATGACTACTAAAATGTCACAAAATACTAGTCATTACTCGATACGAACGTCAAACGTATAACTTCTGTGCTTACAAAATGTTTTCTCATTCGATATGTTGCTAATTTGCGGCGAGTCACAAAAAAATTCAAGAAGAACCGTAGAGTTATACCGAGAAAGGTATCCAGAGTGCCTCCAAAATCAAGGGCCGTGATCGGACGTCTACTCATTCTGGTTCAGTAACCAGAGAAAGTGACACGATCCAAATTTTCATACATATCCGAACATTCAATTATTTTCCAACGACTACTTGATCCTTTCACCGCTAATATGATTTTTTGGTGGTATTTTTTTGACACTCTTTAGAACGATTTTACTTGTAACTTTTAAACGGGAAGCGATACAGGAAAATTTCTCTAATAAAAGTTTATTAGAAAAAAGAGAGTTTTTTTTAACAGGAAAAAATTTTGGTTATGTTTCTGGAAAAAATACAATTGATGACGTCATTAGTCGTTTCTGTCAAATCCCAAAGATAATACTTTCGATTGGAAATGGAGCTTACCTCATCCCATCACCACGTGTCCCAAATTTTGAGACACCCCGTACAGAGGCAAACCAGACTCTACAATAGGAAACATTGTACTTTATAACGTGCTTTTAAAATAACTTTTTCAGCTGTAAGAACGCAGCAGGCCCTCCTGTCATCTGGTTGTCGTTTCATAAGCGGTTTCATGTTTCCAGCAGTTTAAATTTATATTATTTCCTTTTCCCGGGTTTTTATACGTTTTCATTTTCACACCGGAACACCGAAAATACATCCAAGGTTGTAGAGCGCAGAGACGCTATAGTTTTTCCGGTCCAGATTCGTTTCTTTAAAAAAAAACTTACTAAGTTTCAAAGTAAAATAAACATTCTTATTCTGTTTAAATAAATTCATTATTAGTGTTTAAGGTTAGGTGCAGTTTGATTTTTATTGTGCTGTAAATGTAAGACCGATAGAGACGCGTTCTATACAGAGTGTGGCGTGTATAATCTATAAAAATTAAACTACAGCTTCCCGATGATATTTGTAATAGAAAACTCTTATACGAAAAAGTTGTATCTTCGCATTTTTTATAAATTAAAGTTCATTTATTCAGCGAAAATGAAGTGTTATTTGTGTTATTTATTAAAAATTTTGGAAATGTTTTTATGCGACCCGAGATGCAACCTTATAATTTAAATCGGTATAATCTAATACTAGTAACACTAAAAGAAGGTTAGGTTACATTGTCAAAAAATGTGTGCAGTCAACTGATTTTCTATTTGTATTGAATTCATTATTAAATATTAAGCATCTAGTCTAGACCAAGCAAATTCAATTTTTACTCGAAAAAAGTCCTATCCGCTAGATTATTGTAAAATTGTCTAAAGGAATATAATACAAGACATCTCTCATCTCGTGAGTCAAAAACTTTTATTAGCTAACTTTTCTATTTAAACAAATAAGTGAGGAAAACAGTTTTTTCACTTTGCAGGGAAAACCATCAATTTTAGCGAAAAGTGACTCTCAGACAGCTTATAGGGAGTAAAATTATCTACAAAATGAGACTTGTTAAATTAAAATCGGTTAATAAGCAAAAAAGTTCTTGCAAAAAAAAACAAGAAAAGTGCCCATGTCTTAATTTGTTTATAACTATCGCATTTATTGTTAAAATTTTACAAAACTACGGTTTTGTCATACTTCAAAAGTGTGCCAAAAGTGTGCGCTGTAGGTGTAATAGTTTTCGCACAATTCTATTTGTTTATAACGGAGGCTCCAAAGGTTATGAACTTTAAGCCTCTGTACAGGTGTTAATTTTCAACCAAACATAATGCTGAAAGCGTCATTGTAATCTTAAAGATGTAATTAAGCGATCTACTAAAAAATATCACCGTTTTTTTACATTAACATTCTCAAATTGCGCATTAAAAAACCGTGCGTTTTTCGCTTATAAACAATTTGAATAACATTGTTGCTATTTATGCTATCTCACCGAAAATAGATGCAATGGCAACTGGCAAAAACATACAGTTTTAAAATAAAAAAAGTACCCTATACGATCAACAGGAGCCAAGATAAGAATTTCTTTTAAAAAAATCGTAGCACAATTGTTTATAAATATTAAGACTTGAATTTTTCGCAAAATAAAGTTTACGGCGTAAACTACGATTTCCCGTGAATTGCATTGAAAAATGTGGATCGTCTTCTATTCATCGTAGAAATTTCTTTTTTTTAAACTGGGGTAGCTCGACGAAAAAATAACAATGGGCATATTTACGAATTCGTAGAATAGCCCTCAACCCCA